TGAAACCATGTCCACTAACATTTATCTAAATCCTAAGACAAAAAGTATGTTATGAACTTTTTAATTAGCCAATTAATATTTATTGATCATATGATAACTAAGATTCAAAATCCTAGTATTCCTATTCTACACTTTTATAGCTAAAATGAGCTAGGACATCTTTTATTGATACACTCATTAAGTAATTTTGGGGTATCTATTTTATGCCAGGCATAATACTATGCCCTAAGGGATGCACAGACAAAAAAAAATCTCCCTGCTCTGAAGCTTACAGTGTATAGAGTGTGTATGGGATGGAATTTAAAAGCCACCTCTGAAATGAAGATTGCCCTGACACCTCTAAGTTTTAGGTGTAGGAAATGATTCTTTTATGTGGACCCATTGCACCCTATGCTTGCACTTATTTTAGCATTTCTCACACTGTAGGTTAATTGCCTATCTCCTATGCTAGACTGTGTGCTGTCTGAGAACAGGAAGTGTGTCTTAAAGAAGATAACTAAATCATGATCTTGCCAGATGTGGTGACATCTGTAATTCCAGCTATGTGGGAGCCTGAGGCAAGAGGATCACAGGTTTGAGGCTGGGTAACTTAGAAAAACCCTGTCTCAACATGAAATTTTAGGAAGAGCCTTAAAGAACTTAAAACAGTGACAGAAATATAAAGTACTAGCATATATAAAAATAAAATTCAATATAAGTTTGTATGGAATAAATACTACGGTGTATGCTGTAAGAGATAGGAGGTTTTGGGGAAAGTATTTAGAACAGCTAGCATTTGAGTAGAATCTGAAAGGGGTTCCCTGTGAATTGACTCTTGGCCAGAATCTCAGGCAGGAGCTTGGTTGTGACTGCCGGCATTTTTGTTTTCGGAAGGAAAAATGAACAAAGGTACCTTTTGTAGCTCAGTGCAAGTTCTATTATTTTATGCACTAGTTTGATGTTGAATATAATAATGCCATCTACCACTTTCCCCGTCCTCATCAACTTTGGTGAAACAGACTATTTTTGTTGTTTTTGACCCTTTATATATGTCAAAATATCCTGTCTCTTATGCTTATCACTATCAAAAGCAAAGAAAAACATTTGCCATTGGGAGCTAGGTAGCAAGCTGTGTATACAGATGCCATTTAAAATTATAATGTGTGACATGCATTGGTAGTAGGAGTTGTACAAAAGCTACATAATTAGTCTACCTTATGTTTCAAAGGCAGTTAGTCAGACTTATACATTATTGTTTTTAATCCTTTATGAAAAAAAACCCTACTGCATTTTCAATACTGAATTATCTTTAATATCCCCTAGATACCTTGTGGTATATAGAAAGATTTTGCTCAAATGAACCAAACCAAATGATTTCATACAATTCTATAGGAGATTTTATTGCTACTAATACTGCTCTCTTCTGTGACATGTTCCAGACGTGTGGTTTGGAATTGTTTTTAACTCTTAATTATCAAGTGAAATATTTATAAGTCAGAGAGAGAGGCCTGAAAAGATGAAACTTTGAAATAGAGAACATTTACAAAGCAAGGGTATGACAGGGCCTGTCTACAGAGTAGTATCGTCTTTCCTGAACTACAAAACTAAACTGTGGATTTGAGAGTTTGGCTGTAAGAACTGAACTTTGAAAATGAACTACCACAAGCAATTATTAGTGAACTATTTACAATGAAATGAGCACAGCACTATAAATACTAAAAGTTGATGATTTATGCCTTGAAAATTAAACATTTTTTATTCTTAGAAAATAGATTTTAGCCATTTGAATGTGACATACTAAATGATTCTATTAGAATGCTTGTGTGTAGATTCTTGGCCTTGGAGAAAGAGATCTGAAACATAATTTTAAATTTAAATGCAGCATAAAGATTTTAGAAAAATGAGTTATTTTGATTTTGTTTTGACTTCTTTGCTTACTTTACCTACTAAAGTATAATGTACATATAGACAAAAGCTTCCCCAGTGCACAATTCAATGGAATTTCACAAATTGAATACATTCAGGTATCCAATACTCAGATCAAGACACAAAATATCACCACTGCTCCCGAATCTACCACCCCTTCCCTCCCGGTCAGTAGACACCTCCCACCCCAAAAGTAAACGCTGGGAAGCCGTCCTCCGTGTGTTTCTCATGCTTTTGCACATCTTGTGAGTAAAGGCATTGATTGCCGGTGTTCACGATATCTTTTCAGTAATGTGTGTGAGCACTCTTGGAAGATAGTGTCTTCTTCCAGAGCAAAAAGCGGGTTTACTTACAGACGTGCAAAACAGATTATGTGTCTCATGGGAACAGGAATGGGTTTACTTACTACTCAGTATAGTAAGGATAATGTTTCTCTTAAACAAAGTGTAGGCATACTTACTGCCCGTTGTAAAAGCCCCCAGTTCCTCACCTCGTGGGTCTTCTTCGTTCTCTCCGTATACAAGTGTCAACCAGCTTTCTTCATGTTCCCATGTGAAATTAACGCTCAGAAAACTGGCGCAAATACTGACACTGAGCATTCAGTTATAAGATCCTTTGTCACTAATCCAACATCCATCAATTGGGGAACCTCGTTTGTTAATTTGCAAGTAGGTAACTCTTAGATCATTCACTGGTTTTTTTGGGGGGTGGGTGAGTAATGGGGATTGAACACAGGCATTTGTGCCACTTTTGTTTTGTTTTTTTTTTTTTTGAGATGGTCTCCTTAAATTGCTCAGGCTGGGCTTGAACTTGTGATCCTCCTGCCTCAGTTTCCCAGACTTCTGGGATTACAGGCAGGTACAGTATCACCGTTCATGGCGGTAGCCATTATTCTGACTTCTCCTACCATCAATTAATGGAACGATGTAACATACTTTTTGTTCTTGTATACATCACATTTGTGAAATTGACTCAGTTACTATTCTTCACAGACATAATTCTTTATTCTCACGGCACACAGCGTTCCAGGCCATCAGCATTTTAACTCTTGTTTTGTTTCTTTTTCCTATAACTGATGGACATTGGGAAGCTCCCAAGGTTGCTATTAAAATGTTGCTGTTTGCTGGAATAGTGACACACACCGATAATCCCAGCTACTTGGGCGGCGGAGGCAAGTGCACTGCAGGTTCAAGACCATCCTGGACAACTTAGTGAAACCTTATCTTTTTTTTTTTTATTGGTGTTTTTTTGAGACGGGGGCTCACTACACAGGTCTGGCTGGCCTTGAGCTCGCTTTGTGTGAACCCTTATCTTGAAATAAGAAAAATAAAAAGGGCTCAGAATGCAGCTCAGTGCTCCCTAAATCCAGTCTCCAGCACTGCTAAATAAATACAGTTGTGCTGTTGTAAAAGCTCTTATCCGTGTCTGCAGGTGAATGCACGTCAGCGTTTCTGTTGGATATATTCTCAGAGCTGGGTTAGTGTGCACACGTACCGCCAGTTTTCTAAAGTATTGGTACCAGGCTATTTTCCCACCAGCAGAGCGAACAGTGAATGAGCTGTGTACTTTTTTTCCTGGTTGTTTCTCTTCCTCCTCTTCCTCTTTACCTCCTCCTCCTCTTTTACCCTTTTGTTTTTTTGAGACTGGCAATCTTTTATTTCTCCATAATGTCATAAAAAAGGTCAAGTGTGGCAGTGGTACACATAAAATGTTACAGAGCAGTTTCACAGTGTTTATTAGCACTGCTTAGGAAAGAAACATCAATCCCCAGGTGTTACCAGGGCTAGTTACCAATAAGACAATCAACCTGTGCAGCCTTTTTTAGGTTGTTTTTCCATGAAGACAATTTCTAGCCTTCAGAACCTGACAAGATGAAGTTACTCAAATTCAACTTTTTTAGCATATAGTTTTAACAAAAATGAATGAGAAACTGTTTGAAAATTCACATCAATCCACATTGTGTAGAAAAGATTAATATTGTTCCAGATGTTCCCAACTAAAAACAAATTTATATAACTCAATATTCCCAGTAAGCAGAAACATAAAAAGTAGTAGGATTTTTAGGAAAAATTAAGGGCAAGATATTAATCTTCTCTATAAACAAGGCCACATGAAAACACCCAAAGATATGTTGCTTATATCACTTCATGAAATTCTTCCCTAGGCAGCGTATTTAACACTCCACCTACCTTCATTTCTTCCACCTCAAGTCCGAGCAAAGCGTTTCTCCTTCCAGCACAACTAACAGGGTAGATGCTCACCCTGAACGCTGTCAGCAACCCGCTCTTATTTCTAGGCCCAGTTTTCCCGGGGCTGGCCTTGCATTCAGTTTCCCCTGCTTACAATGCCTATCCACCGCAGTTTCTTCAGTTCTTCCAGCCCCTCGGAACTAGAAGTCACCTTTCCTTCGATCTAGATTTGTATCCCTTCAACTTTCTAGGCTGTGCTCAAGGAGGTTGAGAAGCTGGGTAGAAAGCAGACTGGCCCTAAGATCTCCAGCCATCTGTTTAGTGGCTCAACCTCCCTCCTCCGGAAATGACAGGGGGAGCTAAGTTAAACTAAAAAATCTAGTTTTGGAAGTGTTTTTGAGCTACCACTTTAAAAAAAAAAGTGATGGGAGACATTGAAAATAAAGTCTATACCTGCCCTGGCATGTCTGGCACTTAATCATTTTCAGGTTGAGGAAGGGAAGCAAGTAAGGGTACCTAGATTTTGTATAAATTCACTGGTTGGGACTGAGAAAGTCTGGTATTTGGCAAGAATACCATCATTGCCCTTGACCTGAGAACAGGATCCGACTCACTGCCTCAGCCAGCCACAGCCCTAACGGTCAGCAGGGTCTCCGGGTGATGAACGTGGCTGGCGACGGAAGTGCGGAATTGAGAGGCCTTCTGGAAGAGGGACGGAAAGGTCTTCGTGTGCTGGCAGAAAAAGACCAGTCTTCACCTGTTTTAGAGACCCTCGAAAGCAGAGCTAACAATGGTCTGGAATTTATTTATCCAGCAGAGAGCAGCCCAAGGAGGTGGGGATAGCCAGCAGCAAGCAGTAATGGGTAACTAGACAAATAGAAAAAAAACAAAAGAGCGTCGTCGCATAAATCACAGACCAAGTAGCCACTGCTGCTCTCACTGGACTTCATTCGTGCCCAGCAACTATCCAAGGCCACATTCTACACCGCAGAATGCAGACAACATGCGCAGAGGGGGCTCCTAGACTCAGAGATCCAGATAGCAGTAATGGGCCGGAAGCCTTGGGAACAAATGGGACCCAAACAGCACAGGTAGGAGCAGTGCAATCTGCAGCATCGTCTGTTTGGCTTGGGAGGTTGTGAGCTATGTTCAGGAATCATGTGATATTATGCAGAATAGCGTGAAGATCATGTGGAAATGGAACACCACCACCATGAACGTCTCAGTCTTGAGGCGTTAAAAAGAAAAGGAAAGTTTAAAAGACATAGGGTATGCAAAGGTCAGCACAAAGTAAAAGCCGTGTCAGTTACTGTTATGCAGTACTTCGGTGGGAATAATCCCAGGGCAAAGATCACTCATCCCGGAACCCAAAGGGCCTGGGGATATCCAGTAGCTTTTATCTGGTGATATCTGCATCTGTGGTCCTCTTCATGCATGGTAGTGCTGCAGTGGATTTGGCCACAGATCTTCTTGTCAGCCATCTGTCACACTCTGGACGGCTGTGGTCTGAAGACCAGGCAAAGAAGCTACAGGTAACATCTTGGTTCCTCCGAAAGAAGGACTGGGGATTATGGCCCCATGTGCCATGTAGTCAGAGTGGAAAGAGATTCCATTTGGCTGGAGGATTCAACCTCTCTACTCCTTGATAATCAGCTTGTTTCTGAGGAAGGTGCTTCTCTAAAAGAACTTGAACTTGCAACTTGTCCTAGGGTGTCTGAATTCCTTCAGCTCCAGATTGGTTAAGTATTGTTAATATTTTTGCACCTTGGTCTCTATTCTCTGCAGACAGAGGTAGTTTGCTGGTAGTTTCAAAGAGCAGTGACCCATAAATCAGGGATGTTCTCAATAATGTGGTTCTTCTGCTCCAGCTACTACTGCCAAAACTTGGTGCTCTACCTGGGGAAGTCCTGGTCATCCCGAGCTCTCAAGGTGTCCCATTCTAGCTAGACGGCCTCTGGGAGAGGATCATATAGAGGTCCACACTGAGGGCCAGGGACCTACTTCCCCCTTTCATCTGTCTCTTCATTTTTTCTACTACTTGCATTTCTTCACCAACTGGCTTTTCCTCCATCTCACCCTCATTCGCTGCTTCTGAGAACATGGAATACTTTTTAGTCTTCACATCCTTGGCTTTTGCTCTAGCCATCGCCTCGGAGGCCAGCTTCTCTGAGCCAAAGGTTTCTAGGGCCCTCTCCCACCTGCACCAAGCAGCTCTCCACCCTGATGCCATTTTTTCTTGCTGTAGTTGTTTGGGTTTTATTATTGTTGTTCAATTTAAGAAATCTTGTTATTAAATCTTGTTTGATTTAAGAAATCTTTCCAAGATCTGGAACTGATTTTTATAAATGGTGTGATAAGGCTCACAATTTATTTCTCCATATGATATCTAATTGACACAGCACAGTTTGTTGAAAGGACAACATTCATTCCAAGCTTTGCTGATTTCTTCTTTCTTGCTCCTTCTATGATCAATATTTGGTTGACACTTTGCTCGCCATGCATAGGCTTTTAAATACATTATGTTCATCAAAAGTGGTATATGTTATAAGCGGAATTAGTGGGCTGGCTTTGCCTAACCTCAAGGGGAGCCTACAAGCGGAAGGAAGCTGGAAAGACTGCTGAGCTCTGTATTACTCCTTATAGAATACAACCTGCCTAATGTGTAAAAGAAACACTTCGGCCAGTGAAAGTGGAGAAAAGATAATGATAATCATAGAAACTTATGAAAGACCATATACAACATCAACCAAATATTCATAGTAAAAAATGCAAGAGAGGAGAATAAGAAATATTTGGCATGAAAAGTATGCTCATAGTTGTGATTTAAAGAAATCAAAGCACGTTGTGCAGCTTTACATCAACGCATTTTCAAAATTACATGAAGTGTATGACTCCATAGAAAGATGTAACCATCAACACTGTCTGAAGTTAATAGAAAACCTAAGTAGACTCAGAGACAATAAATAAATTGAACTAGATATTTGGACAAAGAGTGTTTACACAAAATAGCATGAAGCTGATATAACTTTAGACAAGTACTACCCACCCTTCAAGGAACACATAGTCCATGTTTTTGTTTATGTTTTATTTTGTTTTGTTGAGACAAGGTCTCACTATGTGGTTCAGGCTGGTCTTGGACTCACTGTGTAACCCAGCCTGGCCTCAAATTCACAGCAATGCCCCTGTCTCAGCCTCCTGAGTGCTGGGATTAAGGCATGCGACACCACGCCCAGCTATAATCCATTTTCATGTTTATTAAATACTCAGCAAGCGTTTGTTGTGTGCCTGTTGTGCTCCTGCCACTCTTCACGCCCTTTATCATGCATCAATGGCCAGAGCAAAGGGTTTGACCCTTTTGGAATATGCTTTAGCAATGGAGAAAGACAATGATAACAGTAGCAAGTTAACAAAGTAACATATTAGAGAATCCTAAGTATTTTGGAAAAAATAATAGAGTAATGTAAGGGGCTTTTGAGTTCTAGGGTAGGGAATGGGGAACAAATTGTAATATTTAACTGGTTGGTCAAAAGAAACCTCAATGAAAAGATGAGGCTTCGTAAAGATCGAAGATGTTAAGCGAGTGGGCTCAGTGGAAATCTCCAGGAAGAGCTAAGCGGGGGCCCTGCGAGTGTCTGTGGAGCGTCACAGGAACAAGAGGCCAGTGTGGCTGGACCAAGCAGGGCCTGTATAGTCGTGTAAGAATTTGGTGTTTACTCTTAGTGACATGAGAATATACTGTAAGACTGGGCAGAAGACTCAAAATCCAGCCTGTATTTTACATAAATCTCTCCAGCTTCTGATCAAAAAATAGACTGCAGGGAAGCAGCAGCAGGTTCAGAGACATGTTTTAGCAAGCTTTTGCAGAATCCAGATGAAAGATATCTTTCAGACCACATCATAGCAGTGGAGGTGGATGTTGGGTTGGATGTAGGTTATAAGGGAAAGAGACTCCAAGCTTTTAGACCTGAGCAACTAGTAGGATGGAGCTGCTAGAAGTAGGGATGGAAAGGGTTGTGATGGAGATCTTTGCAGGAAAACTCTTTGTTTTCGGACATACTAAGCTGAGGAGATTGTTAGACAACAGAGTTAAGATGCCAAGTAGGCATTATGAATTTGGAGTTCAAGAGAGATCTGAGTTGGTGAGACATATTTTGGCATAATCAATGTATATGATATTTGAAGCTAGAGGTCTAGACAACATCACCAAAAGGAGAAAATACTGATAAATGGAGGCTCATGGCCTCCGAAATTACAAGGTCAAGATGAAGAAAAAACAGCAAAGGAAACTGGGGAGAGATCAGGGAGGTAGGACAGAAGCCAAGAGAGAGCAATATGTTGGAAGCCAAATATGTGAAGGGCCATGTTCGCCTGTTTTGTGTGGTGCTAAAGTCCAGGAAGATGCGGCCTCAGGCTTCACCACTGGATTCTACCATGAAATAATTACCAGTAACTCAACAGAAGCACTTTTAGCGGACTGGCAGGGATTTGAATAGGTTTTAAAGAGAATAGAAAGAAAAAAGTTATAGACAGTGAACACTGACAATCCTTTTGAGGAATTTTTCTCCAAGAAGAAAGAAAGGGTCATGACGAGGAAAATTTCAGTAGTCAGGGAAAGCTTGGTTCTAGGGCTTGAAGGTGTTTAGGAGAGGAATAGGAAGGGACAGAGTGAGAGCAGCAAGTGTACACAGCTCTTTTGTGGAATTTTTCTTCAAAGAAATGGAGTGGTGGCTCATGGGGGAAGTTGGTCCAAGAAAATGTTTTTAAAACAGAAAAAGAAGCATGTGTACATGCTGATGTGAAGGATCTAATAGCAGAAACTAATCATACAGGAGATAAAAAGGAGAATTGTTGGAGAGATACCTTGGATAGATGAAAGAAGATTGAGTCTAATGCCCGGATGGAGGAGGAGGAGGAAACATGCTGAGCTGGCCTCTGGTGACCAGCCGGGAAAGTGTGAGCAGGTTCATGCTGGGAGGCGGGTAGAAATGATGGCAAAGCTGAGGAATGCTCTTCTGACGTTCCAGTCTTCTCAGGGAAACAGAAATCAAGAAAAGTGAACACGCGGATGGGGCAAGAGACAGTGGGAGTCTGAGGAGAGGAAAGCAGGCCTGAAATACGTATCTAGAGAGCAGAAGAGTGGCTGGGCTGTGGTATCAGGTATGATTGTCACGAATTTGAAATGCAACCCCTCAGTGTCGTTATGAACTTTCCTCCAGCCACGTTCCGCTTACGGGTACAGCAAGGAAAAGCAGAGTTGGATATTGTCAGGCATGAAGGAAGAGCAACGCGAAGGTGCAGTGCTGATCTTAGAATTTAAGCTGGAACAGAGGACAAGTAGGAATGAGGATCAGCAAAAATGTCATATGACCCGTGACTTGGAAACTCCAGGGTGGTAAAGGGTTTTTAAGGTCAAACACCAGGGAGATCAAGCAACAAGGGCTAAAGATAGAGACTGGTCAGAATCCCACTCATCCATCCGGGCCGGGTTCTAGCAAGGCAGATGGAGGACAAGGTCACTGCAGGGCAAGAGACCAGTGAACCTGGAAGCCAAGGTGAAAGGCCCCTGTGTGTGTACTGAAAGCTTTGAAAGGGAAGACCGGAAAAGTGAGAATGAGCCAGATGCTAAAACTCTTGACAGAAAGGAGGATGTGGGCGTAGCAAGAAAGTGGGGCAATCAGTGAGCTGAACAGTTGGTAGGAGATTCAAAGCTGGGTCTGTTTTTAGAGCCAAGATATAGTACTACCACTTCTTGATAAAGACAGTTGGTGGGGGCCAGGGATATAGCTCAGGGGCACAGCACCTGCCTGGCAAGCGTGAGGCCCTGAGTTCACTCCCTGGTACCACAAAACAAAACAAAACAAAACCAGTGCGTGGAAGGAAGGCACTTTTAGTATTTCGTATTTCTTAATGTTACAGACCCTGTATTATACTATTTTCTCTTCCTCAAAGTGCTCAGAAAAGGCTATACATTATATACTAGATTATCAAAAATGCTCTTTACTATTAGAAACTGAATAGTGATAATTGTCATTTTCTTTTAGGGTTCTATTCTTCATATGTACTAGGGAATTAAAAAGAACAAAAAGAACAA